TGGCAGGACTGGCCACAGACGTGCAGACGGTGTAAGTGAGACTCCCTCCCAGCCCTGCGTTCCCATACTGAGCCTGTAAGAGGCATATTTACAATAAATACCGAGTGGCAGCTTATGCCGAGCATAAATGTCTTTGTTTATTCGTGGGGGAGACTATAATAGCTGGGTGCCAGCACTCCCTTTCTTCATCTCCCTTCAGTGGGAGTTTTTTAAATACAACTGCCTGTGATTTAAGATCACATCACTGCTAAGCCTTAACTGCAAGTATAAAAGGAGCTGCATCTGAAATACCTACCTGTCTTCGGCGTGCGTCAGGAGGTGGTATCTGTCAGCGTCCAGTAGAACAGTTTAGGCTGGGGTGAAGGTGAAAGGAAAAGGAACCTGCCTCTGCTTTAATGCTGATTCTCATCTCTTGCAGTGCCCAGAGACTGAAGTTCAGGCTGAATCTCTACGAGCTGAAGGAAGGCAGGCAGATCAAACCTCAGACTTTTATGAGCATGGTTTCCAATCTGCTGTATGAGAGACGGTAACTGTCAAACAACAGAATCGCTGTTTGTGTGTCAGTGAAGGCTGTGCTTGTTGGAGTTGATCTGATTCTAGAGAGATGGAAGGCTGAGGAGGCCTCATGTAACAACTACTTGTGGTATGGCAAAAGGAGACTCTAATCCAGTGACGAATGTTATCTTCAGCTTCCTTGGAAAAGACTATTGAGCATTGCTAAAATAATCCTGTAGCAGTACAAGTTTGTTCTGTTTCTTGTGCTAAAACCATTGCAGGGTGCTTCCAGGTTGACCTGAAAGGTCCCCCGACCAAAAGCATCTGTGGGATGTTTTCCTTGTATGGATATTTATGTGGGATATGGAACTGCATCAAGGTGGTTCGACTGCTCTATGCCATGTTGTTCTTCACAGGTTTGGACCTTACTACACAGAACCAGTCATTGCCGGGCTGGACCCCATAACACACGAACCTTTCATCTGCTCTCTAGACCTGATCGGCTGCCCGATGATAACCGATGACTTTGTGGTCAGCGGCACCTGCTCCGAGCAGATGTACGGCATGTGTGAGTCCCTCTGGGAGCCCGACATGGTGAGTGAGGCAGCCAGGCTCAGCTCCGATTCTTGGATTCAGCCTCCTGCTGTTAAGCGGAGAACCTGAGATAACATGGGTTGGATGAAAAGCTCTGTCCTTTGGTACTTCCCGAAGGAGCTCAGGAGAACAAAGAGGCTGTAGCTTATAACAGCCCGCAGGAAAAATCTTGTAGCGTCTTGGATGATACTGTGGGGTTTGAAGAAAATCTGATGACTCAACATTCAATTTTTACACCAACTAAAATAGCTTCTGTTCCTCAGGAACCCGATCACCTCTTCGAAACAATCTCGCAGGCCATGTTGAATGCAGTGGACAGAGATGCCATATCTGGAATGGGCGTGGTAGTACACATAATGTAAGTGCTGCTCTCTTCCCCTACAGAATAGAGGTAGAATTTAACAAGCTATGCGTTAAAGTCAGTTGAGGGGTTGGTTTCCAGGGTATCCCTAATCCTCCTCCCTTCCAGCAGTATCTTTAGCAAAGTTTTGTCCATTCCAAGTGTTTTCTTTCATAAAATGGCTGCTCTCTGTTGCAGTTCATGGCTATTGCTAGAACTGCAGGAGCCATGGGAAATTAATCCTAGGGTTAGACTCTTGCTGTGTAGGGATTCCCTGGCGGCATTCCCATCGGTATGTAGGAGTGTGACTCCTCACTTATGGGTAGCACTGGCCAGGAGGATGCTCTTTGCCACAGCTGGATGCAACCCTAACTTCCCGACTCTGCCATCAGACTGACTTCTGAAGCAGCTTCTTTTGCTTGTGGTGCTGTTTTCACTGCAGCATCCCGGGCACTGCTGTTTACTGAACCCAGTGGAGCTCCCCTGGGGTGAAGTGGCAGGAGGATGGGGTTTCCTCAGTAGTAACGGCCACCTTCAAGTTCAGCTGATCCTGCCTGCACTAGCAAACTACCTACCTATGCACACTGCGACTTCCTAATGCAGTCACAAGCTGTGGTAGGTATTAAACGTCCATTTACTAAGAGTCTTCTCTCTTTCCTCCTCTAGTGAAAAAGACAAGATCACCACCAGGACCCTGAAAGCTCGCATGGACTAGCCCAGCACATCTGCTCATGTCTTTCACATCCCAGTCTGCTTGGAACTTTTTTAAATAAAACTCTCTAATGTAGCAAACTTTCCTTTTCTTGAGTCTGAACACTGGGATTAAGTTCTCATTTCTAAAGCTATCAGAAGGAGCTTGGGTTTTACATGGTAGCAGGGCTTACCTATGCTAATCTCCCTCGGTACACCGATATTGTGTGAGTGACTGAGCTCACACCTGCACCCCAGGGAGTCAGCAGCATCTCCGTCAGGCAGTATGGCAGTATTAGCTTTTCCTGTCAAATCTAATTTGTTCTCCTATGCAGGACTTGGTAAAATCCTTTCTTACTTAAACCCCCCCATTTTACAGGCACGTATAAAAAGACTTCTCCAGTTGCAGTTAATCTAGGACTTAAAACGACCACGTACCTGATGGAGTAACAGTTGATCGTTAGAACAATTTAAAGAGGACAGCAGTATGGCACAGATGTACACAAAGTTTTAATTTTATTTTTCTCTGGTTGGAGACTCATCTTGAAACATGCATGCATTTCAAAACAGTAACAGTGTCTCAAACTGCTCCTAGCAAACAGACAAGCACAGAGGACTTAAAATTTCTATTTAAAAAAGAGCAGTGAAAAAACCTAGAATGCTTTTTTTTTTAGTTTTAGATTAAACTTAATTTATTCACATTTTTTCAGTTGCACTGATTATCCCTGCCCACCCTTGTGACCTGTGTGTAATAGGCTCACTTGACACAACTCAATCCAGCTGCATTTAGCACTGTGCAGCTAAACAAAGACCAGCACAACTTCTGAGCGATGAAAATGAAACCACTGAAAATAACGGATGACCAGCAGTTGGTTTCCCGAGCTTTGCCATCACTATTACACAAGATACTCATTTCAAAGAGCAAGGAAAAATCAGTAGTGGCTAATAGGGATACCGGAGAATGGCTCTGCAGAAGTACGGGCAGTTGATAGGCAAACCTGAAATAGGGCATTGAGACAGAGACGGGGAGAGGATAGCCGTTTTGTTTTTGGAGCTATTGTAAGGACGATCTGTCTCAGATCGGTTGCGCAGCGTTGCAAACCAAGTTTAGGACACGCACGCTGACTTTGAAAGGTTTGTACCACTGCGAGGTTAAATGCTTTGACCTCTGTGCAGCTTGAAGGGAGGCATCTATAAAGACTGCATAGTAGTCACAGGACTGGGAGACATCCGTCCATCGAGGCTAAGACACAACCCCTACCAAACACAGCCCATAACTACAACACAACCTCGCTTTGTGCCTTTCTTGGGCTAAGAGGCAAGTCCCCAGCTGACGTCCCCGCTGAAGGTAGCTGTGTCAGCGCTCCGGAGGGGAAAGCAGGAGTTTCCACCCCGAAAAGGAAGTAAGACTCAAGTGGTTTAGTGTTCTTGCTGATTACGATAATCCAAACCAAAACTAGGATGTGGGAGTACAGCCTCATTTATGCGGGAAATCTGGAGTCACCTACTTCCCGAGAAGTTCTCCCTGTGATGAATTTCACGATCATGGCTTTTATAATTAAAACCAGGTCAATCAGAGGCACGTACAAGACCAGAGGGAAGGATCTCACTGCTCTTTGCCGTGAGAAGCAAACTCCTGCTGACATTCTGCTTACCTATAGCAAACGCCAGGCCCTCTTCCTAGCGCTGACACAAAGGGTGGGTGCTGCCTGGTACCTCCAGAACCCGTGGTTCCTATTAAAGGATGACCCAACATGTTCTTGAGTGTTTTTTATTGCCCTATTGGTGCAGAACAGCACCCAAACTGTGACTTTACACTCTGCCTTCCCTCTCCCACTCTTATTTACGCTGTAGGAGCTATCTCAATGGGGAAGATGTAAGTTCTAGGTTCAAAGCAGTTTTTAGATTTTGACAGATCGGGCCCATGTTCAGAAACAGAAAGACCCTCAGTATGGGCAGGACTACAGGTCCTGCAGCTCACTTCTCACACAAACTCACCCTGCCTTCGGGCACTGGAGAGACACTGCACACTAAGATATTTTTTCTTTTTGAAACTCCAGTTGACCAAAGAATTGCACCACAATTTCTTGAAAAATCCTGCACTCTGACCAGGATCTGAGTGATCGGCCTAGCTACTGCAACTCTTTCAGCCGAGGGTGATTTTCAGTCAAATGCGCTTCACTGTAAAGTGTTCCGCAGGGTACATGCTATAGACAGAAATATCTACATTCAGCAAACTAGAACTAAATTCACATCAGAAACAGACAACAAACTAGCACAAGCAGTTGTAAAACCAGAATTGAAAGGGCTGGGTTTTCTTTTTAAATACTTGAGTTAAAAAAGTGACCTACAACAAGATTAAAAAAAACCCAAACAAAATAAAACAACAAAAACAAAAGAAAAAGTCCCTTTTAAAAACAAATCAAATATTTGCAGCTTCACTTCTTATTCTGGTAATAAAAATACTGTCTAGAAACAAAAACTAGCATTTTTAACGTAATGCTGCCTCTCAAAATGTAAACAATATACAAAATGCTTATGTTAAACAAAGTTACATACCTGGGTAATACATCATTAAGTGAGAAAATTGCATTTAATTACTTTAGTACACACAGTATGGCAACTTGACAGAAGTGGCAGAATTGGGAAGTGCTATAAGTGAATAGAGTTTATGGGGCTTTTCATATCACTTGAGCCAGAGACAGCCAATTTAATTCCAGCAGGAGTTTGTTTGGAGTGGAATAAGAAAATATAGTTAACTGCTCTTAAGCCCTTACTATCATGACTTCTGTAAAGATTGCTGCAAGAACTAACTGCATTTTAATTTCATTCCTGTTTATGAAATTCACTGAATGAGACTGTCGCTCCTAGCTATGCAAGCTTCATTCCTCTACCTTCTTCGGGTTGTTTGTTTTGTAGCGTCTCATTGCAGGATGTCTGCAGTTCACTAATTTCCTTCTCTCTTCCTCCCCCCTTTTTCTCTTCTTTTTTAAATACATTATTTAAAGATAAACAGTTTAGAATGTACAAGCTAGTTTCCCAAAAGGAGAACGGCAAACTTACCAGGCCAAAGTTGCAGATTCAATGTAGATTTTTAAAACTGTCAAGAATAAAAAGTGATTGGTATTTAATTTCTAATTGATAGTAAACTTAAATGCTTATTGTTTAAGAGACAAGCAACCAATATAATGCCCACAAAACTAAGCTGATGAAACCCTCTAAGTCCTCCCTTTTCAAAGTATTCTCATAGCTGCGTTTGGTTTGTGGCTCTTCCAGCTACACACCTTAAGACGAGACTCTTGAGCCTCCCACACGAGGGTGCGTTAGCCCCCACATCACACAGAACAGGGATCGGACTACAGTGGCAGAAGAAATTTGTCCCATGTCAAAGGGAATGACCCATGAATGAACAAAAAGATTCATATCCCATTATGACCCCTAATATTAATTTTTGATTTCTTAAAGACACTGTTTATGGTGCACTCTTATGGGCTGAAACTTTATAGCCCCCTTTTGTCCCCTTCAAAGTTGAGACCTGTGGGATTCAACATCATGAATGTGGGTATGAACATAAAAAAACCCAAGCCCACATTCAGAATCCAGACCAGAGCTAGCGTTAGTCTAGGGAAATTACCAGGATGTGATGAGCACCAGTTATCTCTCAAAAGGACCAAATTCCACACAGCAAACTGTAGCACGCGTTACACCACAGGACAGACATTCGAAACAGCTTATTCCCGAAACAAAGGCATATGTGAAAACAGTTTCAAGGCAGATAAGCAACATGTTTCAACTGCAAGAGGTTTGTTCAAAATGCTAAATCCTGCTTAAAAAGAAACAGAAAATTAAAAAAAGAACCAAAAGATCTGTAACTGTTGTGCAGCAGAGCTAACAAAACCCAAAGCAAGTCTGACAAGCTTGGCTGTGAAACATATTACAAGCATTCTGGAGACAAAACAGGACGTTATTCAGTCACGCAAATCAGTTCCAATTCCTTAGGGGGGGAAAATAATCTGGCGCAAGTGTTCAAACATTTCCACTCCTTGACTGTTGCTCTAGAGATGGGTATGGAGCAGAGAAGAGTAAAAACAATCACAGCTCAAGTCCTGAGTCCTCTTGAGCAGTGGAAACTTGCTCCACAGTCACAGCTCCCAGCACTCCCCACTGGTAGCGAGTCCAATTCCTTCGTGTGCAAGTCACATTGCCATTTAAAAAATAAACCAACTAACCAAAGAACCTCTGTCAGGAAACAAATTCAAGTACCTGTTGCAGATTGGGCAAGTAAGGAAGACTGAACATTAGCTAGATTAACACTGGCAGAACTGCAATGTGAAGCTGTAGTCTAAGAGACACGGCAATTCCTGACTGAGGTGCGACAGGGAAACGTCCCAGATAGTCAAATACTATCCCGTATCTACAGGTACAAAACGCCTTTTTTTTTTTCCTCTTTTATGAAATCTTCGTAGCTGGCCAATTTAAAGCACAATGGGTCCAAGCACATTATTATCTGAGGTTGTTCGATGCCTCTACTACTTCTCATACTGTTTTTTTTAGGTTCTAGGAGTTACACCTTTTTAAGCGATCATCTTTGGTAGATGTTCATTTCCCTCGTCTTGTAAATCAAGTGCAGTTACAAAAAAGTTTTTGTTACTTAAATTAACCAAAACATATAAAGTGTCCCAGTCTGAATTTACCTAAAGTTCAGCGACTCCTCCTTATCAGAGTAGTACTTTCCATCCTTGAAATGGTGAGCTATTTTCCTTCCAATTCCTACCAAGAGGGAAATAAAAGGGCTTGTATGTCTTTCTGGTAAAGACAGTCCAACAAAAAAAAAAAAAAAGTAGTAGTAGTTTGTGGAATCAGGCACTGCTTCACTCCCACTGAACGTGATCTAGAGCGACCCCTTTATACAGTGCCACGTATCATATCCCTATGGGATTCTCTTGATCAGAAAGGAGAAAATGTCATTAGAAAGAGCAGTGCTGAAACAATGCACTTTTCTTGTTTTAAAAAGCCCTCAAATCTATGTCTGGGCACTTCTGTAACATAAAACCCCACTTTTCCACCTGGGTCAAGTGGACTGTTGGAGGGTGCACCT